TGTACACAGTGCGCAGTTTTTAAACCTTGAATTCGAGTGTAGCCGTCACTAGGTTACACAATTATTCGGCAATTTAGCAACTTTTTTAAAACCGACAGCTACCCTTTCTTTGAGTATAAAATTTAAGGAAGGCGTAATTTGCTATCAAACAAGTACAAATAGTTTCGTGCATTAATTTTTACCAAAAGAGTACAAGAAATAAATTTTTTCGTGCATGTTTTCCAAAATTTAAAGAAGGCGTAATTTGCTATCATACATGTACAAGAAACAATTTTTTCGTCCATGTTTTCTGTGAAATATATTTGAATTTATAAAGGCAGTCAAAATAAATGATAAAAAGGCATACTTCTTCAGTAGCCAATTTTCACTATAGATACGTATTGCTAGTGGTCAGAACGAAGCTCGTTAAAAAGCCCACATCCTATAATACCTGAAATGACTTAAGAAGAGACTACACGATAATCAGTGTCACAACTTGAGTCAATGCCGATTAGTGAAAGAGTATCAATCTTTCGCATATGTCGACATGTTGCGTGATCTTTGGCGACTACTGTAGTTTTTTTTAAAAATAAAGTTTCCGATTCAGAAATATTTGTTAGCCCATGGCGTTTGCCTGGCGAGTTTTCAGCCTACAAGATGTGTGATTGTCGTATAAGCAATAACCAATATTCCTGTGTGCAATTAAGAAAATACCACATGGTGCTCATAAAATGCTGCCATGAATACAGACGGCTACGATGTGATTTGAACGGGTTTAATCTTGTTCAAGATTGAAAGATAGCCAGATGTGTGCAAGAGAGAATATTTTTTGTGTACGTTTCCGATCAACTATGGTTGAAGTTATAGGAGTATCTAAAATCGATAAAAGGACACAAACTACCTAAGTAGTTATTTTTCTACCCAGCGTGGTTTTCGCAGACGGAAGAAAAGAAGTGCATCCAAGAGTCGACATCCTGGCGTATCGGAAAGATTACAGGATTATGCCGCAAGAAATGAAAACTCTACATAAAGTAGTCTCTTCTAATTCAAAACGCATTTTACAATTTTGATTAACACTTCATAAGATCGGTTTACTGACTATACTGATTACAGTCTACCCTATCAGCATTACGTGATTGTATGTTATCTGCATCGAACAGCACTTTTAAAAAAATGCTATTTATGTAGTCATTTTTACGATGACGACTTTTGCAGTCATGTAGAAAGATGTCTAACTAGAAGCCTGCCGTGTATGAACTATCCTAGGCAGATTGGTTTTCATAGGCATCTCTCTTTTCCGCACAGGGTTTGCCAAGACAAGTTTAAGTAGTGCACCTCATATAGC